GGGGGGCGGGGGAGGGGCTTCGGCTGCGCCTCTGCTCTGGAGGCTTCACCAATCAGCGTGCAGCAGAGCTGTAAAGGACGGCAACAAAAGCCAATCAGCGAATCTTCTCTCTTCCGGCACACGCACTCCCGCCACCCAGGTCGCGGCCGTTACTGGTGGCGCGCGCGGGGACTCAAAGTAGGTGAGTTCTGGGGGCCTCGCCCCCGGCTTCCCGGGGTGCCATTTTCGTTTCCCCGGAGGGCGAGAGGGGCGTGCCTTGGGAGCGACTGGGCGGAGACGATTCGGAATTTGCTTCGGGGATTATGATGTTCATCCGTTCCTGACGTCCAGCTCAGAGTTTAGGTATGAAGACACTGGGAGACGTTGGATCATGAGGGCACCTACTTGGGCTGTGGATCAAAGATGGTGGCGTATTGAACTGGAGTCAAGACTCGTAGGGACCCACTGAGTAGGCCAGTCATGAGGACGGAGTTGACACTTTATCCAGGGGTCGTCCTACTTTCCCTACCCGTCCAGTTTCCCTCCAGGGTGGCATCCTTCTAAGTGAATTCCGCCCATGCTATTTTGAGTTCCATCTCCTTTCATCTGTTCTTTCACCGGTAGGCTCGGTGATGTAACCCCCATGAGGACAGGGTTCATTTTATGTTTGGTTCACGGATGTGTCCCGCATACCTTGAACGCAACCAGGTGCTCCATAACTACTGTTGAATGAATATGGTGGACCTTAGGGGAAAAGACACAGTTCTGCTGGTCTAGCCCTCAAGGGGGTGTGTTAAAGCAGAAATGGAAAGTAATGGTTACGGTATGATGAGAAGTGTTAGGATAGGCATGAGCCCACTAACTGCTGTGGAACACACAGGACACAACAGGAACACTGGAAAGCTGGGAGGATTCCAGGAAAGACTTTGCTGAGGAAGTGACATTTGAACTGAATCTTGAGGGATGGGTAGGAGTTGGACCAGGAAACTCAGAGTGAAAGGCCAGATGCAAGCTGGGCTAAGGAATGCAGATGTGGAGGACAAGGACAGCATTTTCAGAGATTAATTAGAAAGCCCACGTGACTGAATCGCAGGCTGTTGAAATTGGGGGAGGGAGGCATTTCAGGACATGAAGTTCAGATCATGGAGGGTCTTGCTAAGGAGTTAGATTTTATTTTATCCTGTGGGCATGGAAGCCAGCAAAGGGTACTAAACAGGAGAGACATCTGGGTGATCTTGGGCAAGTTCTTTTGTGTTGCAGTTTCTTTATATGAAAAAATGGAAGATAATAATAATCCTTACTTTGCAGATTCTTGTATTAATGAGTCAGTCAATGTAAAGTAATTAGAACAGTGCTTGGCACAAAGCAAGTGTCTTTATATGACAGCTGGTTTTATGATTCTTTGCAATCAGTGATCACACTGAGGTCATATGGTAAAGTGTAAAAAGCATGGGCCTTACAGCCAGAAGTAGATATATTCCTGTCCTTTCCACTTACTGCTGTGTTATATTGTGCAAATTTTTAAAATGTTTTAGTATTACTTTCGTAAATGCCTACCTCATATGGCTATGATACCTAACACACAACACAATGCCCAACACATAGCTGATGTTTGGCAAAGCTTAGTTCCCTTTAAAATTGTATTTTTCACTCTATAGGGGGTGACCCAATAATGGATAGTGAAATCAATCTAATGGGTTGCAAGTTAACGTTTAAGAAATATATATCATATAGAAAAACATAGATGAAAAATTATCAGCGTGTTGTACATAGTAAGGTTAAGCAATGCTTCTCAAAACTTTTGTTTATATAAAAAGTACATATGTTCATATATATTTGTGTACTAGGGGCTATATAATATTTCTCTGTCATCAAAAATATTTGAAAAACGCTTCAGAAGGGTAACAACAGAATGATTGGTAGAAAGAAAATCATCAACTATCCAGTTTTACCCCCAGTTATCAGTCTCCTCTCTGATGCTGTGTGTATGAACTAATGATGGGGATGATGATTATGTGTTCCCCTCCAGATCATGGAGGACACCCAGGTTATTGACTGGGAGGCTGACGAAGAGGAGGAGACAGAGCAATCCACTGAATCTGTGGGATGCCACTTGGAGCCCCTAGGGCGACTGCATATCTTCAGCAGTGCCCATGGACCAGAAAAAGGTCAGAGGGTATTGGGTGCTGATGCAGCAGTATTGTTGTTGTTGTGTGCCGTTGAGTCGATTCTTACGCATAGCATCCCCATATGACAGAGTAGAACTGCCCCATAGCGTTTCCTAGTCTGTAATCTTGTCTGAGCAGATCACCCGGTCTTCTCTCCCTCAGAGCTGCTCATGGGTTTGAACCACCAACATTTTGGTTAGCAGCCAAGCGCTTAAGCATTGTGCCACCAGGGCTCCTTAGTATCAGTATAGGCCTTTTATTTTTGTGGGGAGGTTTTGGAGGGTGACAAGAGGAGACCCCCCAAAAAAACTTGACTGGGAATAGAGAAGAGGGGACTAATTGAGCTGATTGTTCCAGTCTAGTGCCCTGGACTCTGGGGGTGGTTTTACTTTGGTGAGAGAAGATGAAGAGATTCAAATAAAAGTCCCGTGTGGCTGGATAAGTGTTGAGTATGAATAATGCATTGCATGTACCCTTCAGTGCCTAGATGTCCTAGGGCTGTTTGTTTTTCTTATGCATGTGTAGAATGAGTGAGTAGTGGATCACCTAACAGGAACATTTTCCTGAGAACAGACAGGCCAGGACTCAGACCTTGGAACCTATCTACCTCTCTAATTCTTAGATTTCCCGCTATACCTCGGGGAGAATGTGGTAGGCCGGATGCCTGACTGTTCTGTGGCCCTGCCCTTTCCATCCATCTCCAAACAACATGCGGTGATTGAGATCTTGGCCTTGAACAAGGCACCTATCCTCCGGGATTGTGGGAGCCTCAATGGTACGCAAATCCTGAGGCCTCCTAAAGTCCTGAGTCCTGGGGTAAGTCATCGTCTCAGGGACCAGGAGTTGATTCTCTTTGCTGACTTACCCTGCCGGTACCATCGCCTGGATGTTCCCCTGCCTTTTGCCTCCCGGGGCCCTCTAGCTATAGAGGAGACACCCAGGGTCCAGGGAGGAACTCGACCCCAGGGGCTTCTGTTGGCTGAGGACTCAGACGGGGAAGTAGGTAAGTTTGTGGTGTTGGGATGGTGGGTGAGGAGATGGGGACGGGGAGTATAAAATTGTCCTCTTACTCCTTTCTGCTCTCGACAGATTCTCTTTCTGAAAGCTGTGTGGTGAAAGATTCAAGGACTACGTCCTCCCCTTTGGCAACAGTAGTCCCAGAGAGGTGAGTGCTGAAGGGAGCCTTGAAAGAAGCAGGAACCAGGAGCTGGAGGATAGAATCTTTTAACAGAGAGAATTATCATGAAAGTTGAGACTGGGGAACTATTCATTTGCTTTGCTGATTTTTATTGAGCACCTCTGATGTACCAAGTGGAGTAACAATAAAAATATTGCTGGAGATGGAGAAACAAATACTACCTTGTGTCTGCTCTCAGTGAACTCACAGTAGGGTATCCATTCCAGGCAAATACACTAGAATTTTCCTCTTTTCTTCTCCTTGCAGTGATGAAGAAGGGGCTTCCTCTGCCCGAGATGGCCCTGGGGTACCTTTTGCCTTCAGCTTGAACAGTGACACAGATGAGGAAGAAGGTCAGCAGCCAGCATCAAGGCAGGCCTCCTCGGCTGCCAGAAGAGGTGCCCCTGCAGAGCCAGAGCAGTCTGATGTTGATGGAGTCACAGCTGAACTCCAGCTTGAAAAGGATCAGCCTTTAGCGAAGGAAAGGGACAGTGACACAAAAGTTGAGAGGGATGCAGGCAATGTAGTGGTTCCAGTTGGAGTGATTCTGGAGAGAAACCACCCTGTTGGGGAGGACAGTGACACAGATGTGGATGAGGACAGCAGGCCTCCAGGAAGACCACCTGAGGGCCATTTGGAAAGGGGCCAGCTTTCCGGCTTCATCGACAGTGATACCGATGTGGAAGAAGAGGGGATCCCTGCAACCCCAGCTGTAGTTCCGATGAAGAAGAAGCAAATCTTCTATGGAGTTGGTATGCATGGTCTTAGAGTGCCCACCTTGGCACATCTGCAGAAGAGCCAGGCTGGTGGTGATGCAGATGTGGAGCAGGGCGAGGCCCCAGTGGTGGTCCGTTTGGAGAGAAGCCAAGGCTCCATGGTGATCAACAGTGATACAGATGACGAGGAAGAAGTCTTAGCAGCACTCACCTTGGCACGTCTGAAAGAGAGCCGAGCTGTGACCCACCACAGAGATACAGATGTGGAAGAGGACAGGTCCCCACCTGTGGTCCTTTTGGAGCGAAGCCAAACCTCTACTGAGAGAGACAATGGCACAGATGTGGAGAAGGAGGAGAGATGCCCAGTGGAAAAGAGACAGACTATCCTCAAGGGTCCCACAGACAAGGATGGAGCCCTTGTTATTGCACATTCAGGAAAGAGCCAACCTCCTCTTAGGGATGATGATATAGATATGGGGGAAGAGAAGGGCTCACCTGGGGCCCACCTGGAGAGACGCCAAGCCTTCACCACAATGGACATCAGTACAGAAGTGGAGGAGGATGTCTCATTAGAGCCAGCTGTTACACATCTGGAGAAGCATCAGGTACCTGTGGAGGGGACAAATCAAACAGATATGGAAGCAGAAGGGAGCCCAGCAAAGCTGCCTGTGGTGTACCTAGAGGAAGCCTGGCCCCCTCCAGATGAGGACTGTGAAACAGATGAGGAGGAGGACATGTCCTTCATGGCCTCAGCATTGGTACATGTAAGAAAGAGCCAGCTTCCGGCAGAAGGGGATGCTGGGACGGAGTGGGCTGCAGCTGTTAAGCGGGAGAGAGTTCTTGAGGCAGGGACCCAGGGTGGGTCACCTGTGGCACAAGTGGAGCAGGACCTTCTCCCTGTCTCAAGGGAGAACCTAACAGATCTGGTGGTGGACACAGGCACTCCAGGGAACGCCACCCAGCCACATAGAGAGGGAGCCCAGACCCCTACAGAAAGGGAGAGAGAACCATATGCAGACAGGACCAAGGACTCTAAAGACAGCCATGATGGTAAGTGCTAGCTTTTCTTCCTCTCTCATTTGACCCCTAAAATAAAGAATGGTTGTTGGAATTGGGGAGAGAATAGAGATGAAGAGTTAAGGATCAAATATGATTTTCTATTATCTATCCTATATTTCTCCCCACCAGATTCTGAAGATCTGGACCTACAAGCTACTCAGTGCTTTGTGGAAAGAGAGAATCCGAGCCTAGAAGGTGAGGATATCTATGTTGGTTGGGTACTGGTGCCAGTGGGAACTGGGAAACTAGACTGTGGCTCTTGAAGGGTGTGAAGGCTGAGTGGGGAGGGCAGGAGACTGGGACTGGGATCCTAGGCTTTTACAGAGGAGCTGTGCTTAGGTCATCTTTTCTTGTGCAGCAATCAAGAGCATGGAGGAAGAACCCACCCGGGCCTTCCTGTTTACTCTACCCCAAGAAGAGACTGGCCCTTCCCGTTGCAGCTTCCAGACTCCAGGTACAAGGAACTCTCCTCTCCTCTGTGCCCCCAACCTTGCATCCATTCTTGTTTTCTGCCTCTGTACATTTCTTTCACATTATTTGACTATTTTGCTAATGTTTCTCCATTTCATCAGAAAAGAATGCCATATTGAGTCAGACCCATAGACCAACTAACAGCATCATTTTCTGAGGGGCTACTAAGGGAACTTTTATTTGAGGGTATTGTCTTAACTTTTAAGACCAACGCTGAACGTTAGAGCTGTCACCCTTATTCCCAACTTGCGTTTAATAACCCATTTAGATTTATCATCCATGAATTTATCTTAATCCTTTCTCAGTGTGTTAACTTTTCAGTCTACATTTCTACCTCATGTTTTCTCTTTCTCTCTTGTGTGTGACTATTTCCAGGTACCCTGGATGAGCCATGGGAGGTCTTGGCTACACAGCCATTCTGTCCAAGAGAGTCAGAGACCTCTGAGACCCAGCATATTGCTGTCCACCTTGAGGCCCATGGAAATTGTCCCTCTCCACCCAGGGCAACTCCACAAGACCAACATCCAGAGAGCACAGTTCACACAGAGTCACTGGGGATTCAAGGCAGAGGGATTCATACTGAGGAGAAAGTCCTGGATACACCAAGAGAAACAGCAGGAAGGGTGACCCCTGAGAGAGAGCCCTTGGAGAGGGAAGCTAAGGAACTGCCACCAGAAGGAGAGAGAGAAGATGAGACAGGAGAGGAAGAATTAACCAGGGGACTACAGGACAGGGAACAAAAACAGGTGTTAGCTATAGACCTGCAGAGACAAGAGTCTGATACAAAGCTGAAAAGTGCAAATACTGAAAGGGATGTGAAGAGTTCGAAGGTAGAAATGGAGACAAGAGAAATATTTGAGAGAGAAGCAGAGAGACTAGCACCAGAGAGAGTGAACAAGCCAGCAGGGTTAGAAGTAAAGGTACCCAAAGAGGTACTGGAGGAGACAGGCACACAGAGAGGGGAGGCCGAGGGCAGCAGGAGCCAGGACCAGAAAGGGGAGGCCTCCCTTCCAACACCAGAGCCTGGAGTGGGGGCGGGGGCCCTTCAAGAACTGGCTTCAGCCCCAGTAGCTTCTGGCAGCCAGTCAGGTAGAGGAAGGGGAGCCCCAGTGAGCCCCAGGAGGCAGCGGAGAGGTAAGTAAGGGCAAAAGGATCCCAAGGTGGTACACAGCCCCCATTGATAATCAAACCCTGAGCAACTGACTGCTTAGAGCTCAGCCATACTTGCCTTTACCTTCTGTCTAGGTCGTTTGAATTGCAAGATGCCATCTGCTGAGAACACTTCAAGGGTAAGACCTGTTTTCTCCGTCCCTGCCACCTCACAAATTAACCTCTACATCCCCTCCATTGCCCTTTCCCCTAACCTTGATTTTGTCTACTCCTTCACCCATATTCCCCATATTCTCAATTTCCTTCCATTTTCGCCAGTCCTTAGTTGGTTTCTGGTGTCCCTGGGTGGCACAAACAATTAAGTGCTCAACTATTAACCGTAAGGGCAGTTCAGACCCACCAAGAGGCACCTCGGAAGACAGGCCTGGTGATCTGCTTCTGAAAGGTTACAGCCTTGGAAACCCTGTGGAGCAGTTCTGCTCTACACACATGGGGTCACCATGAGTCAGAATTAACTCAATGACAGATGGTTTGGTTTTTTTGGTTTAGTTGGTTTCTATCCCTTTACTGGCATTCATTGTTTTCCATGATACTTCCCTCAACCTGAGAATGAAAGTCCTTTTCTTCTTGTTCCTTCCTTCTTTTCCCCAACCCTCCTCGTCATAACTATCATCCATATGTGGAGAACATTATACTGGTATTACGGGGAGAGCCCTGGGGAAAGAGGACAACTTCCCCCCTTCAGGAAGTGCCCAGTCTAATGGAAGAGAGGTCATGGAGAGAGAAATGTCAGCAAGCACTTTAACCATAAGCATAGTATCTAAGTTGTATCTTTTTTCCCTCTACCTCGTCCTCCCTCACTTGCTTCCATTTCTCCCCAGGGTGGTCAGGAATCCCCAGATGCTTTTCTGCCTCCATCAGTGCCTGAAGCCTCAGCCACATACCAGAACCCCCTTATCTCTCACAGCCAAAAACGTCCTACACCTCAGCCCCTGATTTCCCCCTCTCTACCTTCTTTAGAGGCACCCATTCCCAGGACCAGGCAGAAAGGGAGTCCACAAGCTGTAGAGACTCCTTTGTCCTCAGAGCTGGAGCTTCTCCACCCAAAACCTAAAGTCAGGCCCCGAGGATCTTCTAGAGTGACACCCTCTTCAGTTTCCTCTACTGCCCTTGAGCCCCACCCTCCAGCCCCTACAGACCAGCCTGTCAGCACTGAGCCCACATCTTGGGTTACTCGGGGCAAGACACGTAGGTCCTCTGTCAGGACCCCTGAACCAGTTGAACCTACAGCCCCTGAGCTCCAGCCTTCCACTTCCACAGACCAACCTGTCGCCCTCAAGCCCACATCTCGGGTCACTCGAAGCAGGACACGTAGGTCCTCTGTCAAGACCCCTGAACCAGTTGAACCCACAGCCCCTGAGCTCCCACCTTCCACTTCCACAGACCAGCCTGTTGCCCTCAAGCCCACATCTCAGGCCACTCAAGGCAGGACACGTAGGTCCTCTGTCAAGACCCCTGAACCAGTTGAACCCACAGCCGCTAAGCTCCAGCCTTCCACTTCCACAGACCAGCCTGTCTTCCTCAAGCCCACATCTCAGGCCACTCGAGGCAGGACATGTAGGTCCTCTGTCAAGACCCCTGAACCAGCTGAACCCACAGCCTGTGAGGTCCAACCTTCCACTTCCACAGACCAGCCTGTCACCCCTGAGCCCGTATCACAGGCCATTCGGGGCAGAACACTTAGGTCCTCTGTCAGGACTCCTGAACCAATTGAATGCACAGCCCCTGAGCTCCAGTGTTCCACCTTCACAGACCAGCCTGTCACCTCCAAGCCCACTCGGGGCAGAACTCATAGGTCTTCTGTCAAGACCTCAGAGCCACTTGTCCCCACAGCCCCTGAGCTCCAGCCTTCCACCTCCAGACACCAGCCTGTGACCCCCAAGCCCACATCTCGTGCTACTCGAGGCAGGACAAATAGGTCCTCTGTCAAGACCCCTGAACCAACTGAACCCACAGCCCCTGATCTCAAGCCTCCCACCCCTACAGACCAACCTGTCACCTCCGAGCCCATATTATGGGCCACTCAAGATAGGACACACAGGTCCTCTGTCAAGACTTCTGAACCAGTTGAACCCACAGCCCTTGAATTCCAGCCTTCCACCTCCACACACCAGCCTTCCACCTCCAAAGACCAGTTTGTTACCCCCAAGCCCACATCTCGGGCCAATCAGGGCAAGACACATAGGTTTTCTGTCAAGACCGCTGAACCAGATGTCCCCGTATCCTCTGATCTCAAGCCTCTTGACTCCATAGATCAGCCTGTCACCCTTGAGCCCATATTACGGACCACTCGGGGCAGGACACGTAGGTCCTCTGTTAAGACCCCTGAACTAGGTGAACCCACAGCCCTTGAGTTACAACCTTCCACCTCCAAAGACCACCCTGTCACCCCTGAGCCCATATCACGGGCCACTCGAGGAAGGACACCTAGGTCTTCTGTCAAGACCCCTGAATCAGTTGAACCCACAGCCCCTGATCTCAAGCCTCCCACCCCCGCAGACCAACACGTCACCCCTGAGCCCCTAGCTCAGGGTAGTCAGAGCAAGACACTAAAGTCTTCCACAGTAAATGCTGTGCCAGTTCCTATAACCCCTGAATTCCAGTCTCCTGTCCCCACAGACCAGCCTATTCCCCCTGAGCCCATCCCTCAAGCCAGCTGCAACAGGAGACAGAGGGCCACTAGGAAGCATGAGTCCCTCACAGCTCCCATTGTCCATGAACCCTGCTCTGTACCCCCTGAACCTAAATCCCAGTCCTCAAGGAGCCAAAGACAAGGAGCAGTGAGAGCAGCTGAGTCCCTTAGGACTCCTGAGCCTTCCTGTCCCCAACTTCTTGAGGCACCCACTTATGCTCCCCAGTTCCAAAAGATAGAGGCAGCAGGTAGATCTGGGTTCACCCCAGAGCCCCAGCCTAAGGCCTCTCAAAGCCGCAAAAGGACTTTAGCTACCATGGATTCACCTCCACCTCAAAAACGAACCCAAAGAGGGCCAGTCCCCCAGAAGACAGAGCTCCTCAAGGAAGAAGAAGAAGAAGACACTGCAGAGAGGCCAGGGAAGAAAGAGGTGAGGAGAGAGGGCTGGGGCCATGAAGCTACGAAAAACAGATTGGAGGCTCAGAAACTCCCACCAACATCTTTCTTGAACCCAGAACATAGTGATTCCAGGACCAGGCAAGAGAAAGAGAGACCAGACAGAGGAGGAGCCCAAGGGAACACTGAGCCGCAACCTCCGACGGACCAAACCTAACCAAGAGTCAGCAGCCCCCAAAGTAGGAGAAAAGGGGCATGGGGCTCGGTGGGAGACGGAGATGTGTGGGGTGTGGGGGGCAGGTGGGAGCCTAGGGGATTTTAGAGCTGGGTGCTGCTGGCACCGGTTGCTATGACCAGCTCAGGCTAACCCCCTCTACAGGTGCTCTTCACAGGAGTGGTGGATGCTCGTGGAGAGCGGGCCGTGCTGGCCCTGGGCGGAAGTCTGGCCGGCTCAGTGACAGAGGCTTCACACTTGGTCACTGATCGAATCCGCCGGACAGTCAAGTTCCTATGTGCTCTGGGGCGGGGGATCCCCATCCTCTCCCTGGACTGGCTACACCAGGTGAGAAGCCAGGAGATAGTGACAGACCAATAGGGATGGTGGCAGGAGAAGACTACTCACGCAGCACTCTAGAAAGCAGTGGTGGAGGAAAGAAGGGGTACAGGTAGACAGGGAGGTTTAGTGAAACAGAAATCTTAATTCATTCAAATAATATTTCATAAGCTCCCTACAAATGCTAGGCAGAAGAGTTGAGTGAGGGCTGGGCTGTGCTTTGATGCTGACTGCCACCTTCTTTAGTCCCACAAGGCTGGTTGCTTCTTGCCCCCGGAAGAATATGTGGTGACCGATCCTGAGCAGGAAAAGAACTTTGGCTTCAGCCTTCGGGATGCCCTGAGGCGGGCTCGAAAGCGAAGGCTGCTGGAGGTGAGAGGCTTTCTTCCGACCTATGCTCCAGCCCTCCCTCCAGAGGTTTCCCATGCCCTCTCAGTGAATGCATCTACTGTCTCCAGCATTTTCCTCCTCTTAGGGCTATGAGATTCATGTGACCCCTGGAGTCCAGCCGCCACCACCTCAGATGGGAGAGATCATCAGCTGCTGTGGAGGCACTCTCCTGCCCAATATGCCCCGGTCCTATAAGGTATGGGTGGTATATTTTGGGTCTGGTGAGGTGGCAGTTAAAGAGATGGCTGGAATGGGGAAAGGTTGGAGGAAGAAATGGAGGTATATATGGAGCATAGAGTAATGAGAGGGTTGAGGGGAAGATCTGTCATATAGACAGGGATGGGAATGAGGGAAAATGTCTGATGATACCACATGGACTTATTTTTATTTTAGAAAAATGTAAACATACACAAAAGTAGAGAGAACCTTCATATACTAATCACTCAGATTCAATTTAGATTTTGCTACATTTGCTTCATCTACCCTTTTTTTCTTTTCTTTGCTGAGGTATTTTAAAGCAGACACCATATTATTTCCTCCCACATACTTAAGTAAGGAGCCCTGGTAGCACAATGGTTAAGCGCTCAGCTGCTAACTGAAAGGTTGGTGATTCAGATCCAGCTAGTGGCTCTGCAGGAAAAAGACCTGGTGATCTGCTCCCATAAAGATTACAGCCTAGAAAACCTGATGGGGCAGTTTTACTCTGTCACATGGTGTCACTATGACTTGGAATCGACATACTTAAGTAAAAGTCTCTTTAAAATATGTACTTTTTCTTATATAATCAAAATGCCATTATTGATCCCTAACAAAATTATCAGTAGTTTCTTGGTCATCATCTCATATTCATTTCATTAATCAAATTTCTCTAGTTGTCGGTAAAATATCTTTTCACAGTTGTTCAAAACAGGATCCACAGTTATGCATTGCCACAGTTGCTATATCTCTTAATTCTCATTTACTCTATTGCAGCCCCCACCAACCCACTCACCCTTTTTTATGCCATTGACTTCCTGCAGAAACTAGGTCAGTTGTCCTTTAGAATGTTCCACAGTCTGGATTCTGTTTGCTCCCTTGTTGTACTGTTTATCTTGTTCCTCTATCTTCTGTATTCCTTGTAAATGGTACTTAACTTTAAAAGCTTGAATAAATTCAGCTTCAACTTTTTGGGCAAGTATACTCATAGACAGTACAGTATGCTTCATGTGGCTTCATCTAAAACTGATTAGTGGGTCCTGAACATATAGATCTCTAGGATTCTTTTTCACATCTGACTTCCTGTCTGCTCGCTGTCTCTCCTCAGCCTCAGAGAGTTGTGATCACATGCTCCCAGGATTTCCCTCGATGCTCCATTCCCTTTCGGGTTGGGCTGCCCCTCCTCTCACCTGAGTTCCTGCTGACAGGAGTGCTGAAGCAGGAAGCCAACCCAGAGGCCTTTACCCTCTCTACTTTGGAAATGTCATCCACCTGAAAACCCCAGTGCCCTTTTCCCTCCCAGACCTGTAAATAAAGTGTTAGAAAATACTGGGAAGAAAGAACCCAGGGCTTTAGAAATAATTGGGGTGTATTGATACAACTTGTCCTGGAGCATAGGTGGGATGGAAAGGCTTAGGGGTAGACGGAAAGATAGGGAGATTGGAAACCATAAATTTTCTAAAATGACCATTTAATCCTTAGAATCTTAAGTGGATGTTCATTTTCGGCCAGACTAACCTGGTTATTGCTCCTTGACACACATGGAAGGCCATATTGCTTCCTCTTTTCTTACTGGCATTCTTACTCATCCTCCAAAAGATGAGTAGATTCGAGGGTAGAGTTTTGGAATGCTACTAAAATATTTTCCTCTCTCCTGGCACAACCTGGTTAGAAATGTCCTTTAGCTTTGACTTTGAGCAAGTCTCTGCACTGTTCTGCCTGCATTTCCAGTATTTATAAAATAAAAGCTTAAGCTTGACCTTTGTGATAAATAAATATTCACTCTGTGCCTTATGGTGTGAGGTTTTTCTTTAATGTCTGGTTCTTAAGAGACAAACTTTTTTTTTTTAAATAGTTATGGACTTGTATTTAATTTATCATCTTCTATTTAGAGAAAATTATATTTCTTAAATTTTAAAAGTTGGTTGATTTTGAGGATGTGGAGAAATTGGAACCCTCATACAGTGCTAGTTGGTATGTGAAATGGTTCAGCCACTGTAGGAAACCATTTGGGGGCTCCTCAAAAAGTTAAACATAGAATTAATTACCATATAATCCAGGAATTCCACTCTTAGGTATATACCCAAAAGAACTGAAGCCATGCTCAAACAAATACTTATATAAGAATATTCACAGCAGCATTATTCACAATTGCCAGAAGGTGGAAACAACCCAAATGTTCATCAACAGATGAATGGGTAAACACATTGTGGTATATAAATAAAATGGAATAGTAGTCAGCCATTAAAAGGAATGAAGTACTTGAAACGCGCTACAACATGGATGAACCTCAGAAACATGCTGAGTGAAAGAAGCCAGACACGAATGGTCACGTATGATTCCATTTACAGGAAATGTCCAGAATAGGTAACTCCATAGAGACAGAAAGCAGATGGTGATTGCCAGGGGGCAGGCTTGGGAGTCGGGGGATTGGGAGTGACTCCTTAATGGATACAGTTTTATTTTGGGGTGATGAAAATGTTTTGGAACTAGACACAGGTGGTGGTTGTACAACATTGTGAAAGTGCTAAATGGCACTAAATTATTCTTTAAAATGGTTAATTTTATGTTATGTGAATGTCACTTGAATAAAAAAACACTGGTTGATTAGTTTTGTGCACTTTCTACATGTAAGTTGGAAAACTTTGGTGTAGTAGAAATAGCATGAGCTTGGCCAAGCACTGTGTTGGCTTTTAAACATACCTAATCTCATCATATAATACAACCATTGTGAGATTGGCACATGGCAGGACCCAAATAAATAACAGTCCCCTTGCAGAACTCACAGCCTCTGTACTGTGTGAACCTGTCCATGTTGCTGATGCCCAAGGGTTTCCTACAGTACCTGCTGTCTCTATAACACCATTAGCACAGGTGCATCACCACCTCATGATTGGTGCCATTTACATCCCCCAATTCAAACTTCTAGAGAATAGGGATTTTTTCTTACACTCTAATACCACAGCCTGTAGCACATGGTTTTGTGAAATAAGTGTCTCTCTCAGTTAAGGTCCTACTAGAAACAGATGGCACAATCAAATTAGGATAATTTGGGGGAGAGTTTAATAAAGTGATATTACAAAGAAATGGGCATGGTGTAGAAAAATCACAAATAGTGCAATACCCCAGAGCTGTGCTGTGACCACTCCCAAGGCTAAAAGGATGGAAGGAAGGAGCAGCTGTGTGGAGAGAGCTCCCTCAATCCAACTGTGACCTTCATTGATGTAGTCTATTCAGAACAACCTCCTGAGGCAGACAGCAGGGTGGTACAGTATACAATAGCTCTGATTCAGAGGAGGGTGAGAGTCTTGAGCCTAGGAGAGGGAGGAGAAGGAATGTAGAGCCTGTGGGATGCTGCTGGGCAATTTTTTCATCTCTTAGCCCACATGACTTCTTGTTGTGACCTGCCATCTGGTAGGCCCAACTCATGGGGATTGGAGACCCCATGCAGAAGGAAATGAAGTGCTGCACAGTCCTGTGCCATCCCCATGATTGCTTGGGGTTTGGACCATTGTGATTCACAGGGTTTTCATTGACTGAGTTTCAGAAGTAGATATCCAGGCCTTTCTTCCTAGTCAGTCTCGGTCTGGAAGCTCCACCAAAACTTGTTCAGCATCATAGCAACACGCAAGTGTCCACTGAGAGATGGGTAGTGGCTTCATATGAGGTCCATTGGCTGGAAGTTGAACCTGAGTCTCCCACCATGGAAAGTGAGAATTCTACCACTGAACCACCACTGCCCCCATGCCCAAATAACTAGCGGTTTCCTTTAATTCTCACCTTGGCAATTTTCTTTATCTCTCTGGGCCTACATCTCTTCTACCTATAAATTAAGGGGATTAGCTTAAGGGCATTTAAATCCCTACTGTGGGTCCTTAGCTACATGATCTTTAATTCCGATGGAGAAAACCTTACTTTTACTTTGCTTTCTAGATATGAATGTTAGTCTGTAGGTATTACAAACAGGCCTGTAGGGAATATGTTAAGACAAAAGATCTTAATGCTTTCTGAAAGTGAAGTCAAGCTAATGGGGTTACAGAGTAAAGTCATAGATAGCTAATTATCACAAGCTTGGTGGATAAAATTAACCTGCTGCAAAGTTTACAACTGTAATGAGCAAGGTTTTCTACCTCACATATTTTAACATATCCTCAACTTCATGTTTGTAAGTCAACAGTCTTTGGATTTGGAACGTTAGAACAAAACTTTCAGTACTACAGAGAAACTTGCCCTTCATAGTAAGTGGAAAGGCAATAACTCAACTTTATAATAAGTTACAGAATAAGTATTGATTTATTTTGTGGTAAAATAGTCACTAACTTTTTCTGTCTTTTTTAATCTAACAAGATGTAATAGGTGATTCAGAGCTTTGGATTCTCAGACAGCCTGGGTCAACAATCTTCCCGTTCTCTCACTGTTCACTATTAAACTGCTGAGGCTTGTAAGCTCTCATTCCGGTTATGTTTTCTAGTCAAGGCTAAATTAAAAAAATGGGGGCTTATAATGTTCCATTTCCTGAAGAACCCTACAAGAGAGGAATTGTTAGCAGAGCTGAGATTCAACCCACGAGAGTGGCTGCCGAGCCGCTGCCCTTTATGCAGCTCACGTGGGATTCTAACATTCCCTTCTGTGACGCGGAGATTGCAGGCTTGCCAAAGACACCCAGCCGTCGGCGCCGCCACCTGCTGGGGCAAGCGCTGCGACGGGGTTGGGGGGGCCGGAAGCCCGGGCGTCGGCGCGCGGGGACCTCGCCCTCCTGGGTGGGATCCCAGGCGGGGCCGGGGCGGGGCCAGCGGCCGCGGGAACCCCGGGCCCGCCCCTCTCCCCACCCCTCAGCTTCTCGCCATGGCCCCTGCGCTGCTCCTGGTCCCTGCTGCCCTCGCTTCTTTCATTCTGGCCTTTGGCACTGGAGTGGAGTTCGTGCGCTTTACCTCCCTTCGGCCACTTCTTGGAGGGGTCTCGGAGTCTGGCCCCGGTGAGCGGGAGGGACCAGAGGATGACTCCGGGATAGGGGGGTGGAGCCGGAGGAGAGGGCGCGGGGGCGGGATTTGGAGATCAATGACAGATGGCAAGTCCTGGAGAGGGAACTCGAACCTTGGAAGCGCCGAGACGCGGCAGGGGAGTGAACGTGCAGGCTAAATTAGGAACTTGGGGATAAGAGGTTTAGAGTGGTGGGAGAGTGAGGACTGAGGGGGAGGGGAAGGGTGATAAGCAGAGTATTTTAAGGAAAGGGCTTTGTGAAGAGGACTGTGGAAGAGTGTTTAAAAGAGGGGGTATTTAGAGAATTGAAATAAGGGGCAATCCAGTGTGGCCTCTATAGCCACGCCTTTTGTGACTGTCCAGTGTACACTGTTCTGTGACTCCTCTTCCCCAGTTCTGGAGGAGGCCTGGGGAAGAAGGAAGAAACGAGAATGGAAAAGTGATATGGGCAGGCCTGGAGAGGAAACATGAGGGCTCTTGAAAGCATTAAGGGACATGGCCTGGGGCCCTAAGAGGTGAGGGTAGGGAGTGTTTCCTGCCATCTTCCTGATCTTTTGTCCCTTTCTCTCAATTCCTGCTAGATGCCCGGCAGGGATGGTTGGCTGCCCTGCAGGACCGCAGTATCCTTGTCTCCCTGGCTTGGGATCTGGGGCTCCTGCTACTATTTGTGGGGCAGCACAGCCTCATGGCAACTGAGACAGTGAAGGCGTGGTCATCTCGGTACTTTGGGGTCCTGCAGAGGTCACTGTATGTGGCATGCACTGCCCTGGCCTTGCAGGTATGCGGCCTGGCAGACGAATTCTCAAGGAGGACAGAGTCTGTGGGAAGGACACCTGGGTTGGAGGGGCATGAAATTTAGGCTTCTGATAAAATTTGGGTTTAGGAGGAGAGCTGAGGGTGTTCAAGACTCTAATCTCAGCTTCTGTTCCTCCACAGCACATATCCTACTCTTTATCAAGAAGGGTGTACTCATCATTCCCCAAGCACAATATGTGCATTCTCACCTTTGCAACTTTGTTCATGTTTTCCCCCTGCCTGGGATCCCCTCCTTAACTCATCTTAGTCCTACCAGTTCTTCAAAACCCACACTCCTAAGTCTCAAGGGAAAGCTTCCTAGTGAGTACTCCTCTATCTTCTCATTGGTCTTGGCACAGGCTGCTTTGTATACCTGTCTGGTCACCCCACCCATTCTGTAAGTCCTCAGGGTAGAAACAGGTCATCCTTACATTCTTGGGACCCCACCCAGCACCCTCCACATGGTGAATATTTGTTGGTGAATATGGTGAATATTTGTTGGTGATGCTCATGATGGGGGTGGGGGAGAGCTGCACACCAGCCTGGGGTGGGGCAGCCTCTGGGACTGGGTATCTCAGGGGTGGGCTGCTGGGACACCCAGCCCCTTATCCTTCTCCAGCTGGTGATGAAGTACTGGGAACCCATACCCAGAGGTCCTGTGCTGTGGGAGGCTCGAGCTGAGCCATGGGCCACCTGGGTGCCCCTTCTCTGCTTTGTGCTCCACGTCATTTCCTGGCTCCTCATCTTCAGCATCCTTCTCGTCTTTGACTACGCTGAGCTCATGGGCCTCAAACAGGTGAGGCTTCCAGATCCCTACCTGGGGCTTCTTGTCCTTTCTAGAACTCCTCTTCCCCTTCCAAGGATTTCAGTCCTCCCCCTCCAGTGCTCTACCACCTTTCCCTTGCTTGTGACTCCCTCACCTCCCTTTCCTGTCAGACAGTCTCCCCTCAGCCCTCCCTCAAAGGCCAGCAACAATGGGCCTACTGGGCCTGGGGAAGATGCATGGACCAGATAGCAGTATCAGGGGCCCAACTCTCTGAAGGGGTGTGCTTGAGCCTGAGTTTTAGGAGGAGGGTGCCTGGGAGAGGAGAAAAGAGGAGGCTAAGTTGTGAAAAGGGCTTGGCTCCATTTCTACACTGTTCTCCCTGTCCTAGGTGTACTACCATGTTCTGGGGCTGGGGGAGCCACTGGCCCTGAAGTCCCCCCGGGCTTTGAGGCTCTTCTCCCATCTGCGCCACCCAGTGTGTGTGGAGCTGCTGACCGTGCTGTGGGTGGTGCCCACCCTGGGCACCGACCGCCTCCTCCTTGCTCTCCTCCTCACCCTCTACCTGGGCCTGGCTCATGGGCTGGACCAGCATGACCTCCGCTACCTCCGAGCCCAGCTACAAAGAAAACTCCACCTGCTTTCACGGCCTCAGGATGGGGAGGCTGAATGAAGAGCTAACTTCTGGTTCCAAGCCCTATACTTCCTCTTCCCCTCAAATTCTGAATCTCTCAACATCCAACTGCTGGCTGCTTCAGGCCAGAGGCCCCAATCTTTAGACTCCAGGGGCTTGCCCTTCCCCTACTTGAGACTCCACTCCCTGGGGTCAGCCTCATACCCTAAATTCAGTTTCAGTCATTGGACTTGAAGGTCCACTTCTGACCATCTAGGGCCCTCTCATCTCCCTAAAGAGGGGGTGTGGAACTCTTCTGTCCCCTCACCATTTAGGGCTTGAGCTTGAGCCCCCTTCCAGCCTCTCCACAAGGGAAAGGATCTGCCTTGACCACTCCCCTGGCACTGTTACTCAGGGATCCCCCTTCTCCACAGCTGGATTCAGTCCCAAGGAGCTGGACCAGAGTCTGCAAGTTTGATTGTAGTGGCCCCCCCTCCAGGGACCACGCCTCACGTCTTCATCTCCAGCCCCAGCCCTGGTCTTTCCACCTCTCTAGGCCCCTCTCTGGGTGCCTTCCCCTGGACCTCGTTAAGGGGACTCTCCAGCTCTTATCTTGGGTAGCTTAGGGTTCCCTGCTCCCCCGAGGTACACGCACTGCAGGAAAATAAAATTTAGCCTGACTTTTCTACATCGGGGCATGCAGTCTTCAGTATCTCTCAGGCTGCAGGACATGCTTTGGGAGGGAAGGAGAGCTGGCGCCTGGCAGCGCCAAACGCGGATCTGGGCGATCACTCCCCGTGGACCTGCCCCCAGCCTCCTGCAGCTGACGAGTTCCCTTTCTTCCACATCCACAATTCTCCCGTTGCAGACCAGGCGACCCATAGGAGACGGGTTGAAATTAAAGAGTGGGGCTGCAACTCTGGTAGGGGAGCGAGCTCCCAAAGCTGTTGGCTCTGAGTGCCTCTCCCAACCTCCCCATCCCCCCGCCCCAGAGCTCATTCACAAGGGCCGGGACCCCAGGCGGTAGCAGCCCTGGACGGCGCAGAAACAAAGGCTGTCCGGGGTAGGCAAACGCGTGGGGAGGAGCGGCAGGAGATGGGAAGGGCGGGCCCGGCTCTCAGCAGCTGCCGCTTCCTCCGCAAGTCCCTTGAGGGGCCTGAGTCACTGGCCACCGCCCTGGGTCGGCGAGCTAGGGGTGGGGGTCTGGTCACCTAGGCTCTCTAGGGCCACTGGACGGAGGGATGAGGGCCTCTGAGGACAGTGCACCGACAGTCAGGGGTTCGGACGCGAAGAGTGGAGTCACTGAGCGGATTCCCACCGCTGGGTCTTGGGTAGCGAGGTTCCGCCCCTTCCTCGGGCTCCGCCTCGCGCCCCCTTCCCTCTCCCCATTGTCCTCAGACAAAGCGGTCACCGCCCCCCGCCCTGCCCCCTGGTCCCTATCTCAGTCCCTCCTCCTCTGCTCCCTCTTTCCCTCCTCCTCCCCTCCCTCCCCTCTCCGGATCTTCCTCGCTCCCTCTCTCCTCCTCTTCCTCTCCCCTCCTCTCTCCGGACGCCTGGCTCTTCTGCACCCCCTCCCCCGGGGCCCCGCGGCGCGTGAGTTGACTGGGGGTCTTCAGACTTGGGGAGGGGTGTTCTCCTCGCTCCGGTCCCTGCTCCCGTCGCAGTCCCAGACCTTGGGCTGTCTCTTCTTTGTGCCGAGATTGTGCAGTCAGAGCCGGGTGGGGATGGCCGGCTAGGTCGGAGTTCCCTGAGAGCGGGGACCGGGGCACAGGACTCGCAGGCTTTGGGAAGAAGAGGCGTGGAGCCCGTCCTCCGCACGCCTGGGCCCCCGGGTGCAGCTGATGGGGGAGGCAGACGGTGGTGACAGGACAGGGTGGGGGTGGATGGCTAGTTCTGGGAACATGCTGGCAGCCCAGACGCCCGGGTTCCGAGAGTCCCCGGGGAGGGTATTTCCCCTGACCCGCCTTGGGGGCGGAGTGCGGGGCGGGCAAGTGGGGGCTGGGGGACCGGAGGGGCGTGGCCGATCGGCCCTGGAAGCGGAGCCAGGAGCCTTAGGGCCGCGCTGAAGCGCGCCGGGCTCCTGCCGCGGCGCTCCCTTTCCCTTCCACCCCTTCACGTCCCCTCTCCCCTAGACCTCTTCCCTCTCGGACCCTTCCTCACTTCCCCCATCACCTCCCCCCTTCCCCAGCGCTACTGTCTGACCTCCCTTCCCATTCTCACCTCCCCTGGGGTAGCGGTGAGACAGCCTCCCCTGAACCCGGCCCCCCTCACCCCAGCTTCGCTTTTCTCACCTTTGCCCCCAGCTTCTCTTTTCTCCCATCTCTCTCCCCTCTCACATCCTTGGGATAGTATCTAAGACTTCTTAACGCTGTGCTGCCAGATCTGACTCCTCCCTCTTTGCCCTGAATCTGGACTCTTCCTCTCACCTCACTGCCCCTCCCCCCACCGACTTAGCTCTTATCTTTTCTCTTTATTTTCCCAGCTTTTCCCTTCCTCTGCCTCCTCTTCTCCCTCTTTCCCCGTCTTCACCTCAGCTCCTCTTCTGTCTCCCACCTCCCCCCTCCACTTCCTCTCCCCCTACACCCAGTCTTACCCCCTGTGCCTCTCTCAAGAGCCTCTCCTTCCTGTCCTCTGCCCCCAGCACTCCGCAGCCTCACCCCAAGGCGACCATGGCCACCATCCCAGACTGGAAGCTTCAGTTGCTAGCCCGGCGCCGGCAGGAGGAGGCAGCGGTGCGTGGCCGGGAGAAGGCTGAGCAAGAGCGCCTGTCCCAGATGCCAGCTTGGAAGCGGGGGCTCTTGGAGCGCCGCCGGGCCAAGCTTGGGCTGTCCCCTGGGGAGCCTAGCCCTGTGCCCTGGACTGCGGAGGCCGGACCTCCAGACCCAGACGAGTCTGCTGTCCTCCTGGAGGCCATCGGACCAGTGCACCAGAACCGATTCATCCGGCAGGAGCGACAGCAGCAGCAGCAGCGGAGTGAAGAGCTGCTTGCAGAGAGAAGGCCTGGGCCGCTTGAGGCGCGGGAGAGAAGACTCAGCCCTGGGGAGACTCGGGATCAGAGCCCCAGGGGACGAGAGTCAAGAGAAGAGAGGCTCAGTCCTAGGGAGGCTAGAGAGAAGAAGCTGGGGATGGGGGGAGCCCGAGAGTCTAGCCCCAGACCTTTGGAGGCTAAGGACTGGAGGCTGAGTCCAGGAGAGACGGGAGATAGGAGCTCCCGACAGTCAGAGGCACAGAAATGGAGACTGAGCCCTGGAGAGACTCCAGAGTGGAGTCTAAGACTGGCAGAGCCTCAAGAACAAAGCCTCAGGAGGACAGAGGTGGTAGAAAGTAGACTGAGCCCAGGGGAGTCTGGCAACCAGAAGCTGGGCCTGACAGAGGTCCATAAATGGAGGCCTGACTGCGAAGAGTCTCAGGAACAGACTTCGGTACAGCTGGTGCCATCACAGTGGAGGCTGAGCTCAGGAGAGGAAAACAAAGACTTCTTGGGAGAATGTGGGAAAAAGGAAGAGAGGCCAATTCCAACGGTGGCTCCAGAAGAGATTACAGGGCTATCAGAGACCCTAACGTGGGAGGCTCGAGACAGCAGCCCCAGAGGAGTGGAGGCAGCAGAGCAGAGGCCGCGCCTAGTGGAGGACGGCGAGAGAGGCTTGAGGCCGACAGAAGGGTGGAAATGGACCCTGAACTCCGGGAAGGTTCGAGAATGGACACCCAGGGACATAGAGACTCAAACTCAGAAACCAGAACCTTCAGAGTCGACTGAGAAGCAGCTGGGGCCTCCTGGGGTAGAGCCTGGAGAAGGGGAGGCTGAGGAGGAGGCGGGGGCTCAGGGCAGGCCTCTTAGCACCCTGCAGAACCGCTGCTCTGTTCCCTCCCCCCTCCCACCAGAGGACACTGGGACTGGAGGCCTTCAACAGCAGGAAGAGGAAGCAGTAGAACTCCGGCCCCCACCACCAGCCCCTCTGTCTCCCCCACCCCTAGCTCCACCTGCCCCCCAGCCCCCTGGGGATCCCCTCATGAGCCGTCTGTTCTATGGGGTGAAGGCAGGGCCAGGGGTGGGGGGCCCCCGCCGCAGCGGACACACCTTCACAGTCAACCCCCGGCGGTCTGTGCCCCCTGCAGCCCCGGCCACTCCAGCAGCCCCTGCCACGGCTGATGCTGCAGTCCCTGGGGCTGGAAAGAAGCGGTACCCGACTGCCGAGGAGATCTTGGTTCTAGGGGGCTACCTCCGCCTCAGCCGCAGCTGCCTTGTCAAGGGGTCCCCCGAAAGGCACCACAAACAGGTAGGGGAAGAGCCAAGCCAGACTTCTTAGGAGCCCACTTGCCAGTTCTCTCTGGGCACTGGTCTTTCTTTGATTTTTATACCCTTGTATTCTTGTCTCCCTCTATTCTTTCTTGTTAATTCCTGCCACCACCCTTCCTCCCTTTGCACACACACCCTTTCTTTTTGCTCCCCTCCTGTTCCATTCATCTCTGAGCCCTGAGGAGCCTGCCCAGCAATTGAGAGCTGGCTCTGGGTGTGTCTCCCAGGGTGTGCCCAGGCTGTGCTTTCTGTCTTCTCTCGGGCTCCGAGTTCTCCCCATTTCTTTCCCTCCTTTCCTCTGAGTCTGTGACCCAGCCCAGCCCATATGGTGAGCAATGTGAGCTGAGTCTGACAACCCTAAATCTATCATGGCAGAGCCACCTACATGAAAGCACTTATACTTTTTGAGAGGACAGAATTTTGGGGCGGGAAGTCTGGGGAGGCCGAGGGGGTGGGTTGCAGGTTCTTGGGGGAGAAATGGTGGGGATGCAAATGGCGAGGAAGGTCTCCCAGCCCCAAGGAAGAAGGGGGGCAGAGCTGAGAGGGGACATCCAAGGAGAGAAGAGGGGGGAATGGAACAGAGCTGGTCAAAGAGCAGAGAGAAGGCTTTTGAACCCCTGAGTCGGCCCCATGGGAGAGGCACACAGAGGCTATTTGAAATGGGTGACCTCGGGGTTACACACCCCCAGCTGGGCCACTGCTTTAGACAGTGCTCCCTTCTCTCTTGGGACAAGAAAGCCTTCTCCTCTTCCAAAATACCCCCGCCCCTCACTCCCCACCCCTCCTCTCTGGGCTTCCCCTCCCTCCCAGAACTGGCTCAGCAATTGGTTTTCCCCTCTCTTCCTGCCACCCTGGCCTCTCCCTCTCCTCAGGGTAGAAAAAGAGAAGTGAGTTTAGAGGCACAGTGCTAAAAGCCAAGAGAGCTGGGGAGTACAGTGGGAGTTGGGGACCAGGGTGGGGGCGAGGCCAGCAGAGGGTCAGAGGTTAGATTGAATAAGAACTTACAGGGAAGTGGGAGCAGCCAGACCAACTTCTCCACCTGGCCCTGGCCCTGGCCCAACTCCTTCCTACGGGAACCAGGCCCCAGCTTGAAAATCTCTAGGGAAAGAGCGGTCCCACACTCAGACATGTCAGACTCAGAAGTCTCTCCAGCTAACACAGCAGGAAGAGGAAGCAGTGGAACTTGGGCCCCTACCACCAGCCCCTCTGTCTCCCCCACCCCCAGTCCCACCTGCTCCCCAGCCAGCTGGGGATCCCTCATGAGCCATCTCAGAGACTGGGAAGCCCTTCCTGGCCTCCAGTCCTCATCCCACGTGCTAAGATTTGTTTTTCATGTCTTTAGTGTCAGTGGGAAACCACAGGGACAAAAGACCTGGGTTAAGCTTGGGGGTCTTTTGGTCCCCAGATTCATCTTCACATATCGCTTAAGCCCCCATCCCTGAGCCATGGTACATGCAGCTGTCCCTCCTGAGCCCTCTCACTGCTACCAGTTTTTCCCCTTAGGGAAAAGGAGCTAGGTCAGGAGACTACCGGGGACGTGCTCATAAAGGTCACTTCCTACTGAGGTCAGTTTGTGCTTTTAGGAGGAAGGGAAAGGAGGCAAGAAGCTTTGTGTCCCAAAGTACGGTGTCTGTCCAACAGGAGCCAGGAACCTAGTGCAGAGCAGGACCTGGGATGGTGACCATCCCTAGGTTAGGGAGTAGGGAAGCCGGAAGCACATCAGCCAAACAGGAAGCCTGTGGTGGGGGCCGGAAGGCTGGTGGGGCTGTATGCAGAAGGCTGGGCCTCAGGCCTGCCAGAACTGTGCTCAGGATGTGGTGAGAGAATAAGGAAGCAGCCGCCTGGGGTGGGGGTGGTGAAGAAGCAGCACAGAATTTCCTAGACCCAGACACCTCACTCTTTTGCCCTCTCTCAGGCCTTCTCTCCTTTCAGCCTCCTGCTTATCAGGACTAGCGGGCCCTGGCCCAGTGCTGCCCCAGCCCACCAAATCAGGGTTAGGAGGGCTGCCACTGCATCCCACCCCACCCCCTGCCTTCCCTAAATAACCCCTATCGCAGGCTAATTCCATCAAACTGATCCCTGCCATCAG